ATTTTGTTATAGCCCAAAACGGCTATAACCAAATTAGTATAATTATTAATTATTAAATATTATTTAACGTCTTTCGACTATAACTCGAAGTCGAGAAAGACGTATAAAGTTACGAGCGCAATCGCTGACAAAGCGAGCCACGCGCGGAGGCCACGCGATCGCGAGACTTGAAGAACGACGCGCCGGAAATGCAAGCAAAGAATATACGTAGCTTGCATCCGGGTTTTTTCCACCCGGAATCGAGCGACACGACCACAAGACAAGAAGATTTAAAGCAGATGTATAAGAATAAATGACTTTATTTCTACAACGACTACATAATTGTTCACACGGCGAGACGACCCTGCTCGATCCTGAGCTCCTTAGCTCCTAGTGGCCAACGATCCCAGAACAAACTCTGTGCCTCCACAGAGAGGCACAACAAAATTGGTGGCAGCGGTGGGATGTGCCAAAGGATCGCCAGCCAACTCGCCGAATAAAGACCTGTAAAAAACCAAAAGAGTAAATAATAGGCACGTCAGCAAACAAGTTAAAGCCGACGGACACAAGCAGAAGCAACATATACGGACGACACAAGCAGTACGAGAATCACGGCCAAGCAGCTGAAACTCGAGTAGGAACGCCAGTGTCGAAGGACCAACGCCGACCTACAACATCTCTAAAGACGACGCATCGCCGCCGGGCAACGACCGCCGTACGACGAGCATCAGACCGCCAGTGTTATCAGCCGCCGAGCGAGAGATTGCAGCATCAGCAACCTACTGACCCAGTGAGCGAACATGCGAGCCGTCTTATTACTGTAAGTCCGTAATATATTTATAATTGCGTGAATGTCGGAAGATTCTAATGTACCGAAACCGACAGCGAACCGATCGTGGTTATTAAGCGAACCAGCGCGACGAGCGATTAGCTTAAGTCTAACACCGCGAAAAAATTTTGATAACGCGCGAAGAAATTTAGACACTCAATACTCGAGCGAAAGCGAGCCCGAGTTACCGGAGAACGTCGTCAAGGAATGCGAATTTTCGTTCAATATTTTCGACGAAAGCCTATTTCCGTGTGATACGACTGACCTCACTGACCACACTCAACGCGAGACTAGACTTACGCGACCGTATATTAGCAGAACTCCAAGTAGAGTATCTTTCCGACGCGAATTTTCACTAACCTCCTACGAGAGCAGCGCGGTAGACGAAGAAATAGAAAACATGCGACGATCCATCCGCCAGATGGACCAAAATATAGCGAAGGCCGACCGCACGCCGCCACCCGAAAAAAACCGCGAAGAAAGAGGAGATTATACACAGATCATCCACATTTTAAATGAAATACGCGCGGATATTAATTCGTTAAACATACGAGTAACGCGACTAGAAAGAGCGGACACACAATTACCCCGTCATACAGATACTCGCAGGGAAAACGATAACGATGCGTTTGAAACAACATATGGGCGAACGAGACGCGATATCAGAAATCGACGAAGCGTCGCCCCGAATTATCTGCCGTTAAAAGAAGCAAGAATAATGATCCCCGAGTTCGACGGAACCTCGCGACATAAACTGCAAGAATTTTTAAATGCGTGTAAATACGCTGTTGAGAACATAAATCCCGCGGACGAAGAATCGTTAATTCAAGCAATCTTATTTACAAAATTAAAAGGGAAAGCGATGCAGGAATCTGAGACGCGAGATATACAAACGTTCGACGAATTAAAACAGCAATTGAAACTTGTTACCAATTTAAACAAAGTACTACGCACTTACAAATCGAGTTCAATTCATTAAGACAAAAATCAAATGAAACCGCGTACGCTTTCGGACAATGCGTTGAATTACTAGCAATGAAATTGTACGATGCTATGATTGAAGAAGAAGAGGACTTCTCACTATCAAAACGCACGATCTAACACACGATTAAAAAGCAGGCGTTGATAAATTTTCAAATCGGATTACGCGACGAATTAAAGGTACTCGTACGCGCGCAACGATATACGACGCTCCAAGAAGCGATAACGGGCGCAAGCGTTGAAGAAAAACTTATCGGACCAACGGCAAGAATAAGCAACTTCCCGAATAAAAATAAATACGAATCGAACAATTCGCGACAGATTCAAAATTCGACTCCGCAATGCTTAAAATGTGGAAAAAATGGACATTACGGACGCGATTGTCAAAGTAGTCGATACGCGCTTCCTAAACCGGAAAAATCCACGCGGATAAATGCAATAAATAAATACTGCAAACATTGTCAAAAAACCGGACACATTCGCAACGAATGCTGGAGTTTGAACGGTAAACCGAAAACTGATACGAATAAAATAAAAGATGGTAACCAGAAAGCGAAGATGATAAAAGCGAATCTAAAAAGAAACAACCGCGACCTGCGTCCGAATATCACGTTACGTATATTAAAAATATGCCGCGCACACAGAAGAAAACAGATTTATTGTTAGTAACATTACCCATGCGACAAGCAAAGGATGAAAAAATACGGATGTTATACGATTCAGGATCGACCATTTCGTTAATAAAATTAAAACAATTAAAAGACGACACCATATACGAGGATAAGATCGCGCTCACCGGCATAACCGGACATAAAGTACATACAATAGCAAAAATGTACGCTACAATAAAAGTAAATGGACATAAAATAAAACATGCATTTTACGTAGTAAAAGATGACATTCCGATCGAATACGAAGGGATTCTAGGGATTGATTTCCTCCGACAACACTCAGTATCCTGCGACTACAAACAAAATCAACTAAAAATAGGAAACGCCGTGCTCACATTCCATTCATTTAATAAAATAATTCTAAAACCGCGCAGTGAAACCATTGTAAAAGCAGCAACCAATCAAAACCGGATAGGAATAGTACGAGCGGAAGAAACAGCTCCAGGAATCTATATCGGAAATTGCTTAGTAGAATCAAAAGATCACGCATGCCCCGTTAGTGTAATGAATACGACCGATACAGAAGTCGAAATACAGACGCTGCATGTTGTTCTCGAAGATGTAGAATACGACGAAATACACACTATACAAACGAGAATAAATTCTAAACTTACTTCCTCACGATACTCGCAAATTTGACAACTACTACAAACACAGCATTTAAATTCAGAAGAAAAACAGGCACTCTTACGGATATGCGAAGAATATTACGATACAGTTCAGTTGGACGGAGAACCACTGACGTGCACCGCGACGGTAGAGCACGAGATAAACATGCGCGCCGATACCTCACCGGTAAACACGAGACCGTATCGCCTTCCGGAAAGGCATAAGACGGAAGTAAATAAACAAGTATAAGAAATGTTAAAAAAACGGCATAATCCGAACAAGCGCGAGTCAACGGAACGCACCCCTATTAGTGGTACCGAAAAAAGCCGATGCATCTGGAAAACCAAAGCTCCGAATAGTAGTCGA